TTCTTCAGTTATGTCCCTTTATAACTATATGATATGCAAGCGGGGGCATCATCTGTGTCCACATGTGGACACTATCCACATTTTTTTTCGTTTGAATTGTTGCACATTTCGTCCTGTTATGGCCTTTTATAGATGGCTATACGATATGGTTTTTATACGACCGCAAAATATTTGCATTCGTATAATGCTATCATGTTGTTGTCATCGTCGGAAGACACATTTGGTTTCCGGATAGTAACTTTAGTTTACGTTAATGGATCTCTATGAAATTTTACCAGAAGGTTCAATACCACAAAAGGAAGGTTGAGATCGATTTTGGGGGTTATGGTACCAACAGTTTAGGAATTAGGGGCCAAAAACAAGCATGTTTGTAGTTTCCGGACAATAACTTGTGTGTAAGTGTATGGATCTCTCTGAAATTGTACCACAAGGTTCCATATCACAAAGGGAAGGCTTGGATTGAGTTTGGGGGTAATTGCCCCAAACATTCAGGAATTAGGGGCAAAAAAGGGGCCAAAAACAAGCATTTTGCTAGTTTCCAGACAATAACTTGTGTTAAAGTTTATGGAACTCTCTGAAATTGTTCATTTTTCCTGAAAAGAAAATAATCTTCAAAATTTCAATTAAAAAAATGGGGGGGGGGGGGGGTTAAAAAGTTTTGGGGGGATTTTTTTTTTTTCATAATTTTTTGGGTTTTTTTTTTACCAAAAATTTTCCATTTTTACATTGATTATTAATGATTTATAAATAAAAGCAACAAATACTGATTTGGCAGGAGATACACACCAAACAGGGTGTGTAAATTATTATATATAACAGATTAACTAAGTATTGTGCAACAGCACAGTCAGTATTGCGCAATAGCAAGAAATCTTCAATTGAAAATAAATACAAATCTTTTAACCAATTTAAATGGGATTAATTTAAAGTCTTTAATTTTTGGGGGTTCTAACCTTGTATTACTGTTTTGGATATTGGGCCCCATTTTTAAATTGATATTGTATTGAGGTCCAAAGAGTCCAAAATTTAACTTTGTTTGATTTCATCAAAAACTGAATTATTGCAGCTCTATGATATGCTGAATCTTATTGTGCATTTAGATTTTTTATGTTGGGCCCTGTTTTCAAATTAGTCCATATTAAGGTTTGAAGGGTCTAATATTAAACTTTGTTTGATTTCAACTAAAATTAAATTTTGGTGTTTTTTTTATATGCTGAATCTAACCATGTTATTAGATTTGGGATATCAGACCATACTAAGTATATTAAATGTCCCATTTAAAATTTTTAAGACCGTTGACCACATTTATTTTGTGTCAGAAACCTATATTATGTCAAAATTTTGATCACAATCCAAATTCAGACTGTATCAAGCTTGAATATTGTGTCCAAACTTGCCCCGTCTGTTCAGAGTTTGACCTCTGTGGTTCTATCAGACTGCGCTTGGCGAAGCATTTTATTGCTCATTGGTGAAGTCCATACAGTGATCTTTAGTTGCTCAGATCCACATCATTTGGACTTTGGTGAAGATATTTGTCTAATTGGCAATTAAACCGAATATCTCCTTATTTTATAAACACAGAAATGTAAAGGGCAAGAGATAGATGGACTGTTGTTTCACATGTTTGTACATTTTTAGACTTTTTGCACACATCATCATAAAGGACAGTGTGAGTCTTTCTCATAACTGGAATTGCAAACTTTTAACAATATTTCGTGTTTAACAACTAAGCTAATTAGAACCAATAATCCTATTGATTTTTTTAAATTAAAATGTTGCTGCCCACTAACTTCCATGGCCACCAATAACAGTTAATAGTATGTAACACACATTATGGCTACATTTGTTCTCACTTGAAATGCTTAGCTGATATCCATATTAAGTTATGTAATAAATAATTACTGAGTTCCCATTAGTTGTCCTACTATGGACCTCATTAAACCCTTTGACATTGACAAAAAGATCAATGTTTTACAGTTTAATGTATTGAGGGTCATAATTCAGGGCGAAAACAGGATACTCACTGCATATCATAACAGTATACATTGGTTACATTGAAACATCCTAATAATTCCACTTTGATATTTACAACCTTGCCACTACAAAATGACCACAGCCTGTAACCATGGCAATAAGTAGGATTAAATTGTCATCATATAATAGTAAACAATCCTAAATCTGCTATGTTAGTACTGTTATGCTAAATATAAATGTAAACATTTATTTGGGGACACATGTTTGTAGTGTCACACCTCAGATTTCTATACAGTGGTTCAATAATTTTGACGTAATATCTGTTTGTTTATTTCAGTTTTGGGGATTTATTTATCAACTTTTATGTGAAATCAATTTAAAGTGTAACTTTGTTTTGTTTTTAAATGCCCACTGAACATCACAATTTTATTTTTCTAATATTCTGATTAAATAATGTCATCTCACATCATTATTCGGATTTTCCTACATTCAAAATATTTACCCATACCTTATTTTCTCAACTCAATCAAAGCTTAATAATTAATTTGTTTCAAACATGGATCCATTGTATTTAAAGTACATGTCTCTTGATTTTTATGCCCCCGCCATAGAGGAGGGGGCATTAAGTTTTACCCTCGTCAGTCTGTACTACGTACATCCGTCTGTACGTCCAAAAATTGGTTTCTGTTCTCTAACTTTAGTTTACCTCCACTAAATGTTCTAAAACTTATACACAATGCTTATTACCACAAAACACAGATCGAGTTTGAATTTTGGTGGCGTCATTTTTACCGTTCTAGAGTTATGCCCCTTTACAAATGGAAAAAATGCTGAATTTTTCGTTTCCATTCTCTCACTTTAGTTTGCCTCAACCAAATGTTATGAAACTCATACACAATTCTTATTACCACTAAACACAGATCAAGTTTGAATTTTGGTGGCGTCACTTATACCGTTCTAGAGTTATGGCCCTTTACAAATGGAAAAATTGCTGAAATATTCGTTTCTGTTCTCTTACTTTAGTTTGCCTCAACTAAATGTTATGAAACTTATACACAATGCTTATTACCACAAAAATAAAGTACAAATTTGGGTAGCGTCACTTTTACATTTCTTGAGTTATGTCTCTTTATAACGTAATATGCGAGCGGGGGCATAATCTGTGTCCGATGGACACATTCCCCATTTATTTTTGTATCGTTTCATTTTTATCTCATTGATCTAGACACCACATTTCCTTTTATTAGTGTCCTTCCAACTAGTTGCATTGCCATATCTGTCTGTCTGTCCGTCAGCACTTCTATGTGGTATGATAAGTCAAGGTTGTCATCAGATTTCCTTAATTTTTAAACATAGCACTAATAGGTATTAAAGGAAGGTCACTATCAATTTTGTGAAATTAATACAGAAAATGGGGTAAAAAAAGATTTTTTTTTAGATCACAAATTTTGAGAAAAATATTATATATGGTATACATGTAGGCATAATATTCAAATCAAAATTGTTAGCTAATGTAAAAAAAAAACCAAAAAAAATGTTTGTGAAAATTTGAGAATCAAAGAATGGCCATAAAAAACAAAACTTTTATAAAACATTAAAAAAGTGAAAGAAAAAAAAGTTTGTTTTGCTACCATGCAAAAATTCAGATTTAGGTAAAATATGCTATTTCAGATTCCACATGTCAAAATTTCAGTGAGTGAAAATTAGGGAAAGTAATTTGGTAAAAAAATAATCAGCAGCATCATTTTATGCTATGATTCATCACAATTCTATAATGTTTAATAAACTATATATTCCAAATAAATTGTAGATGGCAAAATTTTTTTTTTAATCATGGTATTAACTTACTTTTAGTTTAAATAAAATAAAAAAATTTAGAAAAAACATCTTATTGGGTTAGCTTTACTATGAAAATTGATGTTTAGGTATAAACATGCTTTCCTGTGTAAAAATTATTAGTTGCCCACCTTAAACACAATGGCTGCTAAAATACACTGCACTTAAATTTTAACAAAACTGTATATTTATAGAGGACATCATGAATACATTCCTGGTCTCCTTATTTGAGATAATGTAAACTTGATTATATTTTAATTTCTTTGCTTACACAAGTATTAATACTTTGTTTCTGTGACCCCCCACAAAAATTTGCAAACTCTTGCTGACATGTCAGTTTTCTAGTTCAGATTAAATACTGTTTAAGAAATGTCAAATGTGTTGTCTAGAATGTATATCATTTCAAATTGAATTTATTCATTTTGTAATAAAGACATTGTTAAGATGTTTTATTTATATTTTTTGTCCAACAGCTATAAACATCCTCATCCTTTGGTGAATAGCTGTCTCATTGGCAATCATACCTCACATTATTCAAAGAAAAATATCAAAAGGACAGTCTAACCCTACCTTTTGACTATTTTTTGTGATGTATTAAGTATATTTTATAGAAGTAGCAATTTAATATTGATTCAGACATTGGTGTGGTTTGATAGATCTTTGACTATTGTTTTGTATTTGTTGTGCATTATTGACAGACACAATGACAAACTGTTGTGTCAGATATGTGATAGTGCATTGTGCATTTTTTTTTGTCTCGCCTTTGACTTTCAATGCGAGCCATAGGGATTACTATCCAGCTCCAATGATGTATACTATGTATATAAAGCTTTATATTTCAGAATATGCTTCAAACCTTGTATACAGACTTTATGTTACTAAATTTCTGTCTGTCATATGTCCATAGTCCATGACATCATTTTCATGGTTCAGGGACTGCTTGAAAAAAAAATTACATTTTTTTTTTGTCAAGTGAAATACTCACTTATGATGAGTAATAGGATAACTAGATTTGTTAAATGGGTTCCTTGCAAATTCTACATGTCCGTCAGGTAGGGTTCACCAGACTTTAACATCATTCCATGGTTCATTGCACAATTCTTAGTTTTTATGGTTTGGTCTATTTCTCAGATATTATAAGCAACAGGTCAATTATATTTGGTGTATGTAACGATTGTTTTGTTTTACAGATACCGACTGTTGTGTCAGACAGATGTGTGGTCCAGCTCGACCTTTTACCATGAACATTACAGACAACAATGAGCAGCCTTTGATACAATTATACAGACCATTCAGATGTCAAGCTAGCTTATGTATGTGTTGTTACTTACAGGAGATGGACATAATGAGTCCACCAGGCCTTTCTGTAGGAGGTGTTAAACAGCTGTAAGTCACACGTACATAAACACACACACATACACACATGTGGTACATTGACATACAGGAGATGGACATAATGAGTCCACCTGGCCTTTCTGTAGGAGGTGTTAAACAGCTGTAGGGCACACATACATAAACACACACACAACATTGACATACAGGAGATGGACATAATGAGTCCACTAGGCCTTTCTGTAGGAGATGTTAAACAGCTGTAAGTCACACATACATAAACACACACACATACACACATATGTTACATTGACATACAGGAGATGGACATAATGAGTCCACCTGGCCTTTCTGTAGGTGTTAAACAGCTGTAAGTCATACATTCATACAAACATATACACACACACACACACATCATGTGGTACTCTTTACCTACAGGAGATGGATATAATGAGCCCACCAGGCCTTTCTGTAAGTGTTAAACAGCTGTAAGTCACACATATATAAACTCACATACACACATATGGTACTATTTCATAAAGAAAGTGGACATAATCAGCCCCAAGGCATTTCTGTAGGAGGTGCTAAACAGCTGTAAGTCACACATACATACACAAACACACATCATTTGGTACTGTGACATACAGGAGATGGCAAAATGAGCCCACCAGGCCTTTCTGTAAAATGCTGTACAAGCTGTTAATAAGCTGTGAGTCTCACATACATACAAACACACACACACACATCATGTGATACTGTGACTTGCAGGAATGGACATGTAAGTTTACCTGGCCATTCTGTAGTAGGTGTTAATAAGTTGTAAGACACACCTTCCTATAAACACACACATCCTGTGGTACTGCACAATATGTTAAAAGTCAACAGAAATACAGAGTAATGCAGTGTAATTAACAAAGAAACACATATTCAAGTTTCAGGTAAAATTGTGTTTGTCTTCATAATATAAGTATGGTTCATTTATCATTCGAAATTAAATAATATATGCCAGAAAATGATGAAGATAGACACATGATAGCTAATGATTCAGTTCTTCATGTATTTATCCAGTGAATTTTACCTGGATAGGGATTTTTTTGTCTTATACATGTATCATAAAATCCTAACATAAACATGATAAATACATGTTAAAATGTTAATTTTTAGGTAACAAACAATTGAAAATGTTTATTATTATGCAGTGCTAAATAAACTCATCATAGATACCAGGATTAGGATTTGTATGCCAGACACGTGTTTCGTCTACAAAAGACTCATCAGTGACTAAGCTCATGTTTAGAAATATTCACTAACTGGAAATTTCCAAGAACTAAAAACTTAAAAATAATTTGAGTTAATCGTTACTATTTACAATATTGCATATTTTAACATAAATAAGAATTCTGCATTCTAATATTTAAAGAGAAAAACCAATTTAAAACATAAGGGTAGCAGTTCTATACACAAGTAAACAATGGATGACAGATTTGTACAGTTTTCACTCCTTTTTTTTTCAGATGGACCCCTTGGAAGCCAAAGTTTGAAGTCCATGATGCACAGAACACACCTTTGTTCCACATTCTAGGAGAATGTTGCTTTTGTTGTCCATGTACAGATATCACTTTCCAAGTAAGAGACCCTCTTGAGATTTGTCCTTATGGGTTACACACTATATATAGGGCCATATGATATTACGTGTGTTTGTTATTGGTATTTGTGATATTTGTACTTCTAATTTTTTATGTTTGGTACACAGAATTATTTTAGGGTCATTGAATATGTGAAATTTTTAAAGATATATTGGAATCCATATTCCTAAACCATGTTTTCCTAAAGTGACTGGAGTAAATTGTTACATAAGAGGGGAAGATAATTTTCCAATATATTTTGACTGCTGAGACAATATTTTGTCCTAAATAGCCATAAGCAAGGTCTTGTAGTATATATATCCTGTTAGTTTTACGATATTTAGCAATTAAGCTGCACAATAAATAACGTACATTCCATCAGGAATAATATTCTTTCATTAAATAAACACCCAGATGAAAGTTTTGAATTTGTCAATTAATTATTTTCTTCATCACAAATTTAATTTTATTAGATGACCTTTTGATATTGAAATATATCACGGAAATGATCCAAAAAGTTTTTACAAGAGTACAGTTTGATTATGGTGTGGTCTATTTACTTAGAAGTAAGCACAAGTATTGATTCTGCTAGTTTGCATCACTTGAATTAGACATGTACTTCGAACATTTAAAATGTCTATACTAGACACTTACATAATTAATGCAATCTTCTTTTGTTAGAAAAATGTTGTTTTGCAAAGATATTTGGAAGTTAAATGCATGAAATTCTTATTTAAAGTTGTTTTGACAGAATGAATTTTGTACCATCATGCATTACTGTTATATCCTGCTTGCTGAAGTTGAGGTTATATAGTGATCTTTGCATCCATCTGTCCTTTTCCTTCATTCATCCATTCTTTGAAAACTATTGTGCATTTGTCTGCTTTTTGTGCCATGCATTCTCCTAAACCATTGATTGGCTTTCAATGAAACTGAAAGAGAACCTTTAGTCCTTATGGCTATATTTTATGATCCATGCATGTTTGTGTGTGTGCCAAACTGTCAAGATTTTATGTAATGATGCCATTCAACTATATTAACAATTTAAAAAGCAATGTTTTTTGGAAATATATATATTCAACATTTAATACTGGATATGGAAAGATTTGAAATAGTTTTGATTTCAGGACAAATTTCCTCTCTAAATTATACCTTCTTCTTTACCATTGAAAATATACATGTAGTTTTAAAGGTACATGTTTAATGTTATTTCTTTGTAGTTTTCATTATAAAAGTATAATGTTATGAAATATTCATATTTGCATTGAAGATATGTCAAACTAGAAAACTTGTACATCAGCAAGGGTTGGGTCATGGTTTGGAACACTCAATCACTTGTAAAATTCACTAAATTTATCAGCTGACAATTTATCAAAATGTACTAAGGTACATTTTAATAAATCATTGACAATGTTGAAACATTGGCTTCTTGGCAAATGATACCCCTAAGGACTGGCAGTCTTTTGCAGTGGTACACAATGTACTAAACCAGTGAGAGTAAATCTTAAGGAAACTAATCATGTTTTATGTGTTCAATAAGAATTTATGGATTCACTTAGAAAATCAGAGCCATAAGTTTCAACTTTTATAGATGGTAAAATACAGAGAGCAAATATTAATATATAATTTTACTAAAAGAATTATGCTCACCACAAATTATTCACAAAATTTGTGATTTTTTTTTGTGAAATATTAAGTTTTTCAACTCTTAAATAATGATCTGATTTTTGACAAATCAACATGTGATTCTTTAGAAATTTTACTCTGAAAACTTGAATATGAAAAAAAAAATGTGATTTTATGCAACCCAACATATTTTTTTAATTTTTTTTCTGAAAATAATGCACATCTACCAAAGGTCCTTTATAAATGTGTGAATCTTCATTCCAGTCCTAGCAAAAAATGCTTATGGAGTGATGTACTAAATGACAACTGTATATATCTGGCATCTTTACTTCAGAACCACAAAAATCACAAAAATACCTGCTTACGAAACAGAGTCTTCCTAAAATATAACTTATTTTATTTTATATTATAATAAAATAGTATCAAACAAATGCTTGTTTCGTTTTTTTCTGATGTTAAAAACATTCTAGACATTAGATACAAATTACCCAGGCTGGTATTGACGTTACCCAATGGTCAGTTCTATTCCTCTTTAAAACATGTGTTCACAAAATGACTAAAGTAAGATAATGAGAATTGACCTTTGAATATGATAATGTTTCACAACATGCCATAACAAGGTGTCAACACTGTGTTTGACATGTTCCTATAAATAAATTCGAACCTGTCAATATTTTACTTTCATTCTTGCATCACAGGTTAGGACTATGAAGTATACTGAATGTTCATTCATAAAAGTAACATCCAATGTTATTACTCTGTTTATGAGAGGATGGATTTGTGACGACAAACATATGCTGAATGTGACAGTAGTTTTGATGTCAGTAGTGCATGGCTATCAATATGATTTTTTTTGTCAGCAATGTACCTTAAATTTTTTTTACCAAATGCTTTTTTTCTGGGTTTTAGGAATATGTTAAAAAAAATAGATCATTTGACCCTGTGCAAAATGGCTGTGGCATATTTATTTGTCATGTTCAGAAGTGGATCCAAGGGGATGTCATAGGGTGCACTTGGCACCCAAGTGAACCCCACTTAAGTTGGCAAAATGGTGCACCATATAGAGTACAATTAAAAAAAATTATTGATATGTATAAAAATGATAAATAAGTCTATTACTTGTAATAAACATGTCATTCAATTTCCAATGCAATAAATTTACCAGAAGGCAAAATACATATATATTGTGTACCCTGACATGTATTAATGTAAATTATGATGCATGTGCATTATTGCTAATCCATTGATTCATTCCTGACTAAATATTACACGTAAACATATGATAATAATTATATGCCTACCCTTCTTAATACTTACCCTCCTTAATAACATTCACTTTTGAATCTCAGGTTCATAATCTTAACATTTAACTTGTCTTTTTTTTATTTTTTATTTGCCATTTAAAGGTACTTTCTTTAAATTCTTTAAAAAATAATGTCTCATGAGTCATATTTAATGTTGTGATGAGATATTCTGTTCATAATTTTGAGAAGTATCTTTCCAAACTTGCAACACAGAATTTAGAATGTATCACTTTGATTTTGCATTCATAAGGTTATTTAGTTATTAAACAGGTAAGAAGGAAAAGACTTTCCTAAAATATACTACAAGTTTAAGCACACACTAAGCAGACTTGACTGTTTTAAGAATTGTGTTGTGCTTATAATATCCCTGTTAAATGTTCAAATGGAATATCAATTTTATAAATTTCTACATATGTGTACAATAATTCTGAGAAATCTCTTTATTTTTTTTCAGGTAGTAGATGCCCAAAAAGGCCATGAGATAGGACAAATTATCAAACATTGGGGAGGCTGTCGAGAAATCTGTGGAGCTGTTAACGATTTCAAAGTAACATGTAAGTTAACATTTTCAGCCCTGCCTTCAACAGTAGAGGGGAATTATGTTTTCTGGTCTGTGCATCTATCCCTTAATCTTTTTGTCTTTCCCGTATCAGGTGAAAGATTTTGGTCAAAGTAGTTTAAGGATGTTCGCTCCTCTGTATCAAAATAACAAGGTTTTTAAAAGACTGTTATAGATCGATAGAATATGAATAAGGGAACTTAAAAATTAGAAAAAAACGATAGGTCCGTGTTCTAGTTTTTGAGACATAATCAATTGAAAATTTGGCGGGAAATGGTTTTCTCTAGATTTTTCATACATTTAACATTGACACCTTTTTTCTTTCAAAAACAATGAAAATATAACAAGGATTTTATAAAATTTTCAAAAATGACTTTTAAAACTATATGCAATAAAATTATGAAAAGAAAAGTAGGGGTCAGTGAGCAAAATTTTTATTGGCACCACATGGATAAAACTAGAGGATTCTGAATATCTGACAAAAAGTCAAAAACAAGAGTAGCGAACATCCTTAAGTTGTAGTCACATCAACTTTAAACTAAGTACACATGTTCATTATGATGTTAATTTTTTTATTTAATGCCAAATTACAGTTATGACCCCAATTTAAAATTTCACTGAACATGGAAATGTGATCCATCTGTCGGTCCGTCCATCTGTCCGTCTGTCGCCAACAAGTTGGACAATAACTCAAAAACGCTTGAACCAGTTTGCATGAAACTTTGGTGAATTGTTTATATCTATTGACCTAAGCTCCTTTTCAATTTTTATAAATTTTCGATTTTGCGTTTCTGAGTTACGGAGTTTTATGCATTGAAAAAAGGGGGGTTTTCCAGTTTTCGGACAATAACTCAAAAATGCTTTGAGCAGTTTTCATGAAACTTTGGTGAATTGTTTATATCTATTGACTTAAGCTCCCTTTCAATTTTTATAAATTTTAGATTTTACGTTTCCGAGTTATGTGATTTTATTCATCAAAAAGGGGGGATTTTCCAGTTTTCGTATAATAACTCAATGTGCTTTGAGCAGTTTTCATGAAACTTTGGTGAATGGTTTATATCTATTAAAATAACCTTCTTTAGTTTTTTATAAATTTCTGATATGACATTGAGGAGTTATGGAACTTTATTCGTTGAAAAAGCAACGGGGGTATCATGCGCTCATGGCCCAGCTCTTTATTATTATATATGAAGCTTAAAATGTCAAACAAAGACACACATGAGTCTTGGGGAGTAGGGAGACATTTAAAAAATATTTCGTAAAGCATAGATAAGAACATTTACTGGATGAAAATTAAAGTGTTTTTGTTTTGTTTTTTTTAATTCTTTTTGAATTGGACATTAATTAAGCAACATCTCTAAATCAAAATGTTGTATAATGGTTTTGTTTTTAGTTCCAGCAGATCTGGATGTGATGAAGAAAACATTGTTGTTAGGATCCACGTTCCTTATTGATTTCAACTACTTTGAAAGAAACAAAAATCAATAAGACAATGCCCATTCATATACATAACCAATGTCAGATGTCGTCAAACAAAGATCCAGTATCAAATGTTGTTAAAATGGTGGAGGACAAGATCTGATAGATATCCAGTATCATATACTTTTAAGAATAGATTTTATTTCTGATTTTATCAAAACTTGGGATATATATTAATCTTATTTCTCAGTCTGTTTCAGTATATATTTGCTTTACTATGTAATTTGATTTTATAGTAAAAAGATATGTAATTTAGTTATTATATTTTTATAGTTTTATTACTTCATTTTTCATTTTCATTTTGTTTTACAACAAAATTTGCTTTAATTTTATGTCTTTTAAAATTGAAATCCATGACAATACCAAAACTTATTTATTTATTTTTACATATGAAAACAGATAGATAAAATGGAATCTCTTTTTTTTTAAATTCCTTCAAGGAATACGTGTTCAGCTTTTTCACCAAGGAAATGATCTTAAACAGAAAGGGACCAAGTTATCTATTGAATTTATTTTATTTTGAATAAAGATTTGTTTTAATTTTGCTGTTAAAAATATTTGATAATTGCAAAAGCTTTTAAGGAATTGAAAATTAGTAATTATTTTCAAGTGAAAAAAACGAAAGTTTAATAGCATTGTAAAAGAATTTTATGAACACAAACTGAAATAATCAAAGCAGATCATGTCATTGAATATATTTTGAGAAATCTAGTGGCTAATCTGAATCAAATTGAAAATTCATTCAATTGAATAATGCTTCTTCAGATCAAAATTTAAAATATTGAACAATAAAATATTTTTCTTAAACTGTAGGGTGTCCTTAAAGTTACTGATTTCATAAAGGAATTAGATATTTTGATAAATAATTGTTGTTTTTGTATATTATTGCAATATCTACGCATAATTAAAATTTTATAAATTAAAAACCTGTAAAACAAGACTACCTCACTCAAAAGATGGTTTATTTTATTCTTATTGCTAAACAATGTACAGCTTTATTTTACTTTTCCTAAATAATTCTTCTTTTAATCTTATTTTTAATTTAAATTTTAGGGCAATGGAATTTTTTTATTTCTTTATGGATTGTCCTTTGAAAAATAAAGGCCAGTATAAAGATAAAATATTTATTGAAAAAAATTCATTATGTAATTATTACTCATGGTTTAGTTATTGTATAGTTCTAAATTATATATCATGTTCCTTATGCGCTAATGCTAGAACTTTTTCAATTATTTACACAGAAACAATCAATAAAATGTAGGCCATTTAACATGGAATATTATTTACATTCAAGCATTGTTAAGTTTGCTGCTTTATCACAAATGTTTAATCTGAATCTTCTGCTCAGTCAATGAAAACAATCATAGTGTAAGAATTATATGTATATATGTTTTTATAAAGTTTACTCTGTATAATTGTCTGCAACTAACATGTAGTTAATGCTTTTGATTTTCAAGATTCAACTATATTTAGCTTTACCTATCTGAAATCAATGAATCTTGATTAAAGTAAATTGTCTTTAAACCTTAACCACATTTGATAATCACTGATATTGCATTTTACATTTTTTTAAAGAAATTTTATGTGAAAACCTACAGATACTGAAGTTTTATGAAGATGTTTTTTCAAAAGTTAATTTTACATTTGAAAATAAAAACATTTGATTCCGGGTTATATGATTTTAATGTAGTTATCCTTTTATCTTTAATTGTTTGTTGAAAATAAATATCTGTTTCCTTTCGACTGTGTCTTTATTTTCTTCGTATCTTATCAGAAAGGAAGAATGACAGGATATCATTGTTCATTTTGTAATCTTTAGTCAAGTAAGTAAAGGAGTTCGCTATGTGATGTTCAACATTGATAGTTATTTCACATTATCAGGATATGACTGTTATATTTGCCACTGGACATTTAACAACCAACTATCAATTACTATGGACCATAAACAATGACTGGAGATAAATACATAGAAAATGTCACCTTAGATGCAGACATTGTAAACAAAAACATAGAAGATGAAGAACAAGAGGAAAACATTGCATTCCTTCAGGCAAACAAGGAACTTTAATCTAAAATTTATCAACATATTTGATGGAACATTTACTAGTCCTCAGATATGATGGGCACAACTGAGATCAACCTGAAACAATTCAATACTCACAATTAAAGGCAGTATTTTCTTTAATTCTGGCAAATATCTCAAATTAGAGGTATTCTAGACAAAGGTTAACACTTCCTGACAGGGTGGTTATACCAGTTAGTAAAATAGCATCAATATCTTATCCCAAATTTCCCATCCGATAACAATTTTCTATTGTGGTAGTTTATGATGAAACCTTTTCGATCAGTCATTGGTACCATATCTGAACTATATACTCCTGTGGTCAGGTTAAGTTTTCAGGATTTTTGTACCTTAGTAACAATACAGACTGGTTTATGTTTGATATATTGATTGCTTGTGCTGCATACATCACATTTGAGTCTTTGTTGTGAAGTTTTGGTTCTGTCTTATTGACCTTATACCCTAATTTCTCTTTATTCATATTGATAGACCTAGACTAACATATTCCATATCTGTATAAGTTGCAAGGAGCATGTGTCCTAACATGTCATTTGGTCTTTTTCTCTCCAATGGTAAGGTGAAACTTCAGGATGAAGTCTCTTCCTCAGTAAGTATACTTTATAATTCCAATGTGGTATGTTTTGGAGGAGTATATATCGGTCTGACACATGTCAAAGGACCATGAAATTATTTGGTCTAAAAAAAACAATATTTAAGCTGGTTATACATTCAGTGTGTCAACTCATGTGCTATGTTGACGTATTTCAAAACCATTCTGTGTAACATGCACGTTGTTGAGGCTTTACAGCCAAATACAGTAGCCAATAATTGTTGTCAAATTTGTGTTTTGCGTCGCACATCTTCTCCCATGCAGTAGGCCATGATTCCAGCCTTGCCTTTTAGATTAAAACAGGGTCAAAATGATAGTTTTGGTTATATATGCCAAAATAAAATGGACCAGCAAATTGCAATGTCAATCACACAATACTAGTACATTGATTTTGGAATTAAGACATCTTTCTTTAGATTCCTAGAGTGTCAACAATGAATCTCTAACTAACATGCTGCCATGGTTATCATTTTGCAACCAACATAACCCTTTATTACATTTGACAACTGGAATCTGTATCCGGTAAACACACGGAGAAACCAGTAGAATAACCTGGGGGATTGAGATATGGTTGTTTATAACAACTAATGGAAAATTTTACAAACAATTCATTTACTTTCATTTGAAATGTGCAATAGAAAATTTTACAATTATTTCATTGAATAAGATATCTAGATCTGCAAGGTGTTTATTCTAGCACACAAATATATATAGGCGAAAAAATAGTAAATTCAGTTATAAAGTAATTACAAATATCACAGAAACCAAAATAAATCGGGGCAGAAGCGTGAAAAAATGCTTTGTCATGAGATTATTCCTTAAATGGTCGTCCAATGTTTCTTGCAAATACCCATATTATAAAGGAAGACTAGCACCACCAGTGAATAATAATGATAAAAACAACTGTGTTTATAACAATTGTCACATTTTAAAAGGTATTTTTTCAATATATTACTTACATAAATATTGTAAGTAAAATAATATGATCAGAATATGGTACATTTCATCACCTTTACTGATCTTTTTTTGAAAAAAAAAACTTTGCGAGGGAGAAGATACTTGGTGCATTCTGCATGACGGAGAATATAAGCCGCTGTACATATTTCATAATATCTTTATTACTCAAAAATAGGCAATTTAAATCTAAACCAATAAGAGACAGTTTCTAAAAATCAAAATGAAATTGTTCTGCCAACTGTAGATTTTAAAGATTATACATTGTAAATAAGTAATTATTGGTCATTAAAATTCAACATAGTTCCTTCGAACGTTTAATAAATGACATTTTATCGTTATACCTGTTAGACATAACGACAGATATCGAATACAGTAATAATCTATAAAGATCAATGTTAAACAACAAAATGTCTATCATCATTTCGAAGGATTCTGATAGATTTATATTTTAAAAACTATTGCACATAAAAATGCAAATTCTCACATTAAATTTGACATTTCTAAAAATATATGAAAAATATTGTTAGAAGTCGGCATGGATGAGAAACAGGAAACGGTTATTAACTAATGTATTATGTCCCAGGAGAAACTACAAATTATCTTCAGATGACACAAACTGATTATATACGGCATATTACTACACTGAACATTGATACAGACAATAACCAAATAAAGTGCATTAAATGTGTGGTGTGGCATCTCTAACCTCTATGGTAATTTTTTGTGTTTTAACAATATCAATTCAGTCGTAACATAAATAGTTGAAATGTGCCTTGTTTTTAGACAACTCCGAGCAGCCCTGGAAGACATTGAAAACTTTTTCGAAAATCTTTGTCTTGGATATAATCAGAACGCATAATTGTCATTAGTTTGGAATTCGCTTTCTATCTATAAAACCAGGTTTAATCAACCATTTTCTACATATTGAAATGCCTGTACCAAGTCAGGAATATAACAGCTGTTTTCTATTCGTTTGATGTGTTAGAGCTTTTGATTTTGTCATTTGTTAAGGGACTTTCCGTTTTGAATTTTCCTTGAAGTTCGGTATTTTTGTTATTTTTCTTTTTCATGAAGCATACATCTCCTGAAGTAAATTTTCACAAAAACAAAGAATTAATTTGTACACAACTGTGTTTTATCAATAAAGATAATAAGATTAAGATTTGATATTTTGTAAAATTTAATAACAATTAAAACTACCATAATATAAATAAATTTTCATGACTGCATATTTAGAGAAGAAAAAGTCTCTTGTTTGAAACATAGGACTAGTAAGATCTCTTATAGTGTTAATCACATATCAATTTTCAGAATCCTATATCAAATTTCGTATGAAGATTCGATGACTTTTGATTCCAGTTTTAACCTCCAATGCCTTGAAGTTCAAAAGATCACTAAAACCTCGATAACCCAAAATACATTTTCGACCATAATTCTGACCTCAGGTCAAACATCATAATTCCAAATCCTTTGCATCTATAATGTGACTTGTGAAACCTGCAAGCGTTGTTTTAGAGAATAGTTTTCATAAGTTATTTGACCAGTAAATGTGAAAGAAAATACGACTTTTCTGAGCCCAATGTGTACTAAAAAATTATACTAGATCTTCTTGCAAGACCGACGACGTCTGTCTATAATTAACCCCTCACTTATCGAAGCGTCTGGGATAATGTTTTGCTGTTTATCGCACGTTTTGGTAATGTCTAGGACAATCTCAACTACCACTAAGCGTAGAACCTTAAATCTTGACACAATGTTAACACAGGTTTCGTGATAATTAACGAGGAAATCAGTGAAATTTTCCACAAACTCCTCCGTTGCACAATGTTAATACTATTAATATAGATTTTGCCGAACGTTTGGGAATTTTGATATTAGCTCTGAGGCTGGAATTATGGGGGAATTGTATTTCCGGTTATCCAAAACCTCATGAAAAGATTTTAACTTCTAAACATAGGAAGTTCAACTTGAATCCCATGTCATAAATGCAAACTTGACTAATGATTTCGGAATTTTCTTGTAGCTCATAAGGGCATGATCCTCATGGATTCCAAAAAGCGAACAAATCGATTGTCCTTGAACTCCACCTACGCCATTTGAGATACGATCATGAAAATAAGTATGCATTAACACTTTAAGAGTAATAACTGACGATGGGTCCGGAATTTTTAAGATTTGTAAAGAAACGTGAATTATAATTATGGGCAACATTAGTTTACCTATGTTTAAATCTAATAAATCCATTTAAAAAATACAAATTGATATATATAAAAGGGGGGTAACATAAAATCTAACGGTAGCGGGACCATATTCGCCGAGAGAGTAATCGACTGCTACTATGTATGCATCACCTGCAATGAGAATCCACAATCAGTCAAAATGTCACAACAGCTGATAGGACACATTTGAAAAATTTACAGATCAGACGACAATTCTAGTAACAAAAGAAATACCGCAGAAACATGTCGTTTATGAGTTGAAATTCAGACACATCGTATTGTCACCCAATCGTGATGGTGTTGATTTCAGTCGTTCTTTCCTGTAACCCTATATTAAGTTCATATAAACTGAACATGCACTCGCGATAGTTATCAAATGAGATGTCACCGCCAACCCATACAGTTGGGCAGAGGGTCATGTAAATGGGAAAATGACGGTGGGAAACTGAAATCGTCAAGTTAATCATATATCGTATTTTGAAGACTTGCAGCTGTGCCAATATTCAGAAAAAGATCCAGGTACGAAGCAGATCTTGTTTCGGGTGTACTCTTAATGTCAATTCCGCTGAGATAAATGAGATACAAGCATTTACTAAAATGTGTTTTATTGAGTGAGAGGACATCATACAAAATTGATTTCAAGTTATCAATTCTCCAGTGAAACATTGTTAAGCATTTGTTGAAAGAAGAAATTACTGGAATCATAGCTTACCTAGACATCAATCCGAACTTGAAATAAAGTATACTACAGGAAATGTTAAAAATGCCTCACATCTTGACTAAAGAAATTGACATTTATGGTCGGTTGAGAGCAAAACTTTACGACAAAAGGTATGATTTCAGTTTCCAAATTGAATAACTTTCTATTCATATGTAGCAACATTCTAGCATA